CAGCAGGAGCTGGCAACAAGGGGATGGGCACGGTGTGACAAACTGTCCCTTCCCCAAAGCTGAGGGCTGGAGCCTGGTGAGGTCTCGCTGGCTCTGCCCCCCACCTGGGGGCCATGGGGAAGCCTTTCAGGGCAGGGCAGGGCCCTGCAGAGAGAGCAGTGCAGCCCAGCTTGGGGCGGTGAGCAGACTGGGCTTATCTGCACCACTGACTCATGCAGGCTGTGCGTCTCTGAGCAGGACCAGGACAGGCTATTTCAGATACCTTTTCACAGAAAGGTTCCAGACAGCTCCCCGCCCCCTCAAATCAGTGGTAAAACCACCAGCAGTGTGTGCAATGCTGGCTGCACCCTCCTCCCCATTGCTATGCAAGAACCCAAGCTGCAGGATGGGAACAGCTCCCAGGCCCAGAGCTCGAAGCTGCAGGAGCGGCTTGGGGAGCTGCTGGAAAGTGCGCAGGTGAACAAGGAGCTGGTGAGGGTGCAGGACAGGGCCTGCCGCAGGAGCCCATGGGAGTCCTGGGGCTGATGTCTCGGGGCATCTCTGTTGACACAGGAACAGCGACGGCAGAATATGGAGAGAGCCCAGGCCATCCGAGCTGCTCTCATGCACACCTACAGCGGCATTGCACTGCATGCCCCCAAGGAGCAGCTGCTCACCCGTGTGGATAAAGAAATCATGGGCAACATCCTGCGGCTCTCCAGAGCCAAAGAGAGGGTAGGAGCATGGGGTGCGCAGGGGCAGGGATGCCTGGGTGCCCTCGCTCCAGCCCTTCGGGGCTGGGGTGCACTGAGATGGATGGTCTCTTTCTAAAGATCCCCCAACGAAGGGTTTGTACTCAATGTCCAGATCCAAACCACCCGTGGGTTCTCCCAGCCCATGCTCCTCTTCCACCCCTCAGCCATTCAAAGAGTCCAAGGGCTGCTTTGCTCTCTTTGGCCTCAGGACTTGCAGCTCAAGCTTGCCCTCGTGCAGAGCATCATGAAGGTCAGCTGTGCCATCCAGGCTGTGGGTGACTGCGGCAGCTTCAAGCTCTCCTTGAAGCAGGAGGCGACACAGACCCTGCTGGTGAGTGCCCGTAGCTGGGGCAGTCACACAGGGGATTTTTGGGCTGCTTTCCCCAGAAGCATGATAGTCTCTTGGCTTCATGCGAGCTCCTAAAGCTGTGCCCTGAGCTGGGTGCTGGTGCTGGGTGGCTGTGGCTGGGGAGCAGGGTCCATCCTGCGGTGCCTTTGGGGGTCTGTGGGAGTGATGGGGCAGTGCCTGTCAAAGCCTATCAACGGTGCCTGTCCCTGGGGCAGGTGGGAGGGCTGTTCTGTGCCCCAGCCTAATGCCAATTCTGTGCTTGTGTCTCTGAGACTTGCAGGACTGGATAAAGGGAGAGCCCTGGGACTGCCTGGTGTATGGAGTGTTTCAGACCCTGGAGGAGTTGAGGTCAGATCTGTTCCCTGAGCTCTGGGGAATCCCAGTATGCCCCAGCCCAGCTGGCTGGGACAGCCTCAGTGACCTTGAGCATGGGGCTGGGAGCTGCTGGGAGGGTGTTCCCAATTTCAGGTGTCCCGAAGGAAGGGAGCCCCAGCATCTCCTTAACCTGGGAGTGAGGGTTTGCCTGCTTCCTGGGAGGAGACAGAAATTGCTGGAGCTGAAGGCAGTGCTCGCTGGCATGTGCTGGGGGTGCTGGATTTGGGGCCCTTGATTAGGAGGAACCCAGTTGTGCTTTGAGCCACTCTGGAGAGGGCTACTAAATCCCCTTTCTGTTTTCTTTTCCTTTTTCCTCTGGCCAGTAAGTTGAGGCCACCTCTGAGCAGGGAGGAAAATCGCAACCTGCTGGCAGTGTGTTGCCAGAGTGTCTTGTCCTGTCCTTCTGAGAAGTGGATGAACAAGGCAAGGAAGCCAGCGAAGGCAGCTGTGAACATGCAGGTACCCACCGGCCAGTGCCTGCCCACCTCGGGGTCAGGATGCCACCTCAGTGCGCCCTGGCAGCCCCCGTGATGCAGAACCTCAGCTCTCCTTTCCTGCTTTCAGCTTTTGCACAGGAGATGCATGGAAGATCTGGGCCATCTCATAGAAATCCTTCTGGAGGCAGAGGACACCTCTGCCTGCTTTGACGATGTGGTCCATGTGCGTAGCCATGGGGCAGCAGGGAAAGTGTCACTGGGGCAGAGAATCAAGGCCTTAGAGGGTGATAGGAGGTGGATACCTTTCCTACGGGAAAGTGGGGCTTTGGCTCCTTGTTCTGAAGCTGTGCCTCTGGCTGGGGCCAGGGTCTGAGCTGGGGGATGGGAGCGCCTGGCCACTGCAGCCTCAGGACAGGCAGAGAAGTGGGCCCTGCCCGAGGGAAAGCCAAGAGCCAGCCCTGAGCTGGGCGAGAGCAGCCTGGGGGAAGGCCGGAGCGGGGACACACTGGCAGGGAAGCAACACCTGGCTCAGGGCAGAGGCAGCTGGAGAGAGCGAGGCAGTGGAGGCTGCAGTGCCAGTGCTTGGTGGGGCTGGGGGCTGCACCAGGAAGGGCCCAGAGAAGGAGGGAGATGGAGAGGGATCTCAGGGAGAGAAAGGCGCCTGTTGCGAGAGAGATGCACCCTGCCTCAGGTCCTGAAAGGCTGGCTCACCTCAGCCAAAGAACGGGAGCGGGAGAGAGCCCTGCGAGTTTGTGCCCATGTGCTGGGAGCTTGCAAGGAGCCATTCAAGCTCATGGTGAGTAGGGACCTGCCCATGTGCCCTGGTGCTCCCTCCCCATCATTGACGGCCCTGGAAGGGAGCCCCGCCTGGCCAGGTGCTGGGTTTCAGGGCTCCTGCGATTATGGGGCAGCCCTTCTGCCTGCCCCTCTGCCTGGTCGCTGCTCAGGGAGCAGGATGGGTGGTAGAGGTGAGCGGGTGCTGGGGCTGCCTGCGACCCTTGTCCTGCTGCTCTCCCTTGCAGAGAGGACGTCCTTGCAAGCAGTTTGGCTCCCTGGTGGGAATTCTGGGGACTCTGACCAGCGACTGCCTGGCCACGTCCTGCCAGAGGGCATGGATCTGCCTTGGCTACCTTCTCCAAATGCAAGGTGAGGAGAGCGGGTGCTTCCCAGCCTTGCTCAGCCTGATCCTCCCTCCCTTCCTGGCTTGGCACCATGGGGATCCTGCAGGCCCAGGCCCCATCCCCAGGAGGGAAGGGGGAGGCAACGTGCTCAGCTGGTTTTGTGCCCCCACCCTGTTTAGCCCTCTGCCTCCCTGGCCATCTCAGGAAGGATCCCTGGGAGAGGGTCACTGAGTCTCACGTCCTTGGGGCATGTGTGATGTTGGGTGGTCAGGGCCATCCCCCGCTGCTCTCTGAGAGCAGGACGGTGTCACCAATGCTGGGGACTGTCCCCCTCCATGTTCCAGGAGAAACAGAGGGTGGTCAGACAAGTTGCTTGGATGAGGTCCTTGATGTTTCAGAGGGTGCCTTCCCCCTTGCTCCCTGACTTGAGCCTGGAGAGAAAGGCAGCTACCCAGGCAGTCTCCAAACTCATCCCTCCAGGGAAGAAATCTCCTGCCGAGCACAAAAGAGGAAACCAATTTGCTGCCCAGAGGAAACTGGGCAGGGAGCAGGGATCTGAGCTGCGGGCCCAGAGTGTGTTGCAAAGGGTTGTGTTTGAACCCTTTCCTCTTCAGGCAGCAGGGTCTGCCTGTGCTGAGGAAGTCACAGGGAGGATTCCTGCCTGCAGAGACAATGGTGGCCTGGGTGGGAATAGAGGACGCAGCTGCTGGGAGCAGAGGCCAGTGGCTGCTGAAACCCTGAAGCCCCAGCAAATGGTTCAAGGAGGAAGAGGGGTCTTTCCAGCCCAGGATTTGTCAGCCATTTATCAGTCTCAGGAAATCCTGCTGCACTGAGTTCAGGAGGGCCTTCACTGCCACCACTTGGGTTCTCCTTTATTGGTGTCTGGGGCCAGAGTCTGGGTTTCTGTAGATGTGAGTCCTTTTTTCTCCTGGTGTTTGTTCCAGCCAAGACCATGAAGGTGGTGCCTCAGGCAGATGAGATCAGGTGCCTGTGTGAGGAGTTGAACAGCCCAGACACCGAGACGCAGGCGGCGACTGGTGCCACAATAGCAAAGGTAACTGGCCCCAAAACAACAGGGTGGGGGCCCAGCTCCTGGACTCCTGCACGTCTCCCTGCTCCTCTCCAGAGTCTCTCCATGTCTCCAGAATGAGCTGTCCAGGACAGCTGTTGTTAGCAAGGAGGCTTTGAGACAAGACTGTCCTTTAGGCACACTGGAGCAGATCCTGTATGTGTGTGTGTGAGTGCTCTTGTCAGAATACAAATTTGGTATATAAGCAAACAACATGGGGGGAGACACCAAATCAATTAGCTGCATCGGATGTAAACAGCAGTGTATGCACAGCAGGAGGATCAAGGCATTGCCCCCTCCATGACTGCCGAACTAACAGTCCTGTCAAGTTTCCTTTCCAAATTGCTGGAGCAGAGCTGTGATGCGGTCTCTCCTGTTCCTGACTTCTCTCCAGGCTGTTTGTAAATGCATCCCTCCAGCACAGGCTATGGACTTTCTGACTGCTGTCCTGGACAGCTTCCTGCATGTCAGACCCACATGTGTGAAGGCAGTGTGGAAGTGGGTGTTCATCTTCCTGGTGGAATGCAGCAAGGAAATACTCCAGGAGGTAAAGGAGACCTTTTATTCCATTTGCCTTTGTGTTTTCCCCTGTTGGCTGTTGCACTACACACTGTGCAGTTGGCATGGGCTCAAGAAACGCCACCTGTGCGCTGAGTCGAGGGGCTACTGGTGGTCGGAGTTGTGCATGGTGCTGGTGTCTACTCCATCTGGTGACAAGGATATGGGTACTTCTTGTCCAAAGTCTCCCGTTGGTCCAGATCTTCTCATGAGTGAGGCAGTTATCACTCGGAGGCGCTCGGAGGCACCAACCTTGCTGTTCCTCCCCTTCCTCTGGGGTCACTGCCAGTCTTCCCTGCCCTGGGACCCACTTCCCCCTGCTCTTTTTTCACTGGTCCCCAGTTCCCTCTAATCTGAGCTTTGCTGGGCACGCTCGGTTTTCCACAGGTTGGATACTTGTTCATTGCTCTCATTGCTTTCCCCGACTGTGGTGTTACCCAGCCTGCGAGGTGCCCTTCCTTTAGCCACCAGTTGCTGCTGTTTGTAGCCTGGGAGCCTCTGGCCTCGTGTTGTGCCTGCCCTTTCAAGGCTCCTGTTCTCCTCCTCTGCTCATGCTCTGCTGTGCTCCTCTTGGGCTCTAGGGCCACCAGCAGCTCACTCAACCCAGGATAACTCCCCAGTGCGGCTGTCTGCTGCTGACAGAGGTCACTTACAGTGACGGCAACCATGGGTGGCAGCCCACAGGATCGAGCCCAGCTGAGCTAAAGCTTACCCAGCTGTTAGCCTGCTGCTGTTACAGCCAGGGCAGGGTGTCCCTGTGCTGTCCCTGCCGAGCCTGTGGCTGGGGCGGGGAGGGGCAGCAGGAGCACCGCATCTGTGGGCTGCTGGGTCACCCTTTGGTGCTTCCCCAGGTGCAGAGCAGGTTGTGTCTGCACCACGGGCCAGAGGTAGGCAGCTGTGGGAGAAGATGGGATCTTCCACAGAACAAGGGACCTGGGTGCCTACTTGTCCTTATTGTGGCCATGGCTTCTAGCTGTGAAAGGCTCAAACACCCCTTCCTCTGGGGGAAGGTCTTTTCACAGGCCTTACAAGGCACCTTCAGGGGCTCGAAAAGCGTGTTTGGTCTTGCTCTGGCATCACTACAGACACATGGGGAGAGTTATTCAGGTGTTGGGTGTGAAAGATGCCCGTGTCCTCTGTGTGCACACAGGGCACGCAGCTGCTCATATGGCCTGGCTCAGGCACATGCAGTGACTGAGGCTCTGCTTGTGAGTGCATGCATGCATGCATGAGTGTGTGTGCGCCTGCACACATGCAACTGCCAAGAGCATGCTCAGCTCTGGATGTGAGCTAGCCAGGGTCAGCCAGGGTGGGAGGGGTGAGGTTTGGAGCTAGATCTGGAGTCTTTGTCAAGGGAGCAGGCATTGCTCATGTGCTGAATGACTGCCTCTGGGCTCTGCAGGAGCGGGTAAAGGATGCACTGAGCTCTTCTTTCTCCTCTTCTTCCATTCAGGTGCCAAAAATCCTGAACATCCTTTACACCTACATGCAGCAGAGCACCCACAGGCCCTTCTCTCTCCGTGCGGTGCTTCTTCTCACCCGCTTTCACCAGGAGCCTGTGATCAGCACTCTCCTCCAGAAGGGTCTGCCCATGGACAGGTACATGCACTACCCACTTCCCCCCACTGTAGTCAAAGAGAGACCCTACAGCTTGCTTGCACTGGGCAGGGGTGCGGTTAAGAAGCAGGTCTTTTTTCTGCCTGAACTGTCTTGAGTGTGGCAAGACTGCATGCTTGTGTCTCTGCCGTGAGTGGGGTGTTGTAAGCCCCACTGCAGATGAGGAGAAGGTTTGAGGGCACTGCAAGACTGCAAGGATACGGGCTCAGGGGTGAACGTCTGTTCCCTTGCAGTGACACGGTGGAGCTGTGGAGGAGCCTGGGGAGAAGCATCTTTGGGACTGAGGTCCTGAGTTGCCTAGCAGAGAAGCTAAATAGAGCAGGAAACACTCGCCTGGGGACTGGCTCCTCAGCTTGTGAGCGGTACAACTGTGAGACTGCTCTGGAGACTCTGACGGTACATGCAACGGCAGACACATTTCTGCAGCTTTACATCTGCTTTCTAACTCATACTTCAGCACGCGGGAGTCAGGTGCCCTTTGTGGATGCCCGTGGAGACTCCTAGGGTGCTGTGCTGGGCCGGCATCAAGGAGTGTGGGGAGCCGGGACAGTTTTGTGCTCCTGAGCTGCAAGGCTGTCGCAGAAGTGATAATTGCAGACAGTAACCCCTGCCCCAGGCAGGAGGGGGAACCAGGCTGGTGGGAAAAGGCCTTGCCTGAACAGGTGGTTCTTGGTCATGTTTCTCTGTAGATCACCCGTGCCATCTCTGAGGTGGTGCTTGCCCTGAGGAGCACAGAGGAACTCAAGCAACTGCTTCCCCAGCTCCTTCCCAGCCTCCTGAGGTGGGTCAATGAAACGCTGGGCGAGGAGAGGCTGCTTTCCCCCATGAGTAGCTGGAGACAACTGTTCCTCGAGGGCCGGGTCCTTGAGGAGAAGCCCTGCAGGTAAGGAGCCGAAGGGGCTGGTGGAGGGGTTGGCTTCAGTTCCACTTGCCAAGACATGTGTGTTTGTGGGGCTGTTGGAGCACTTCGCCTGCCCCACTTCCTAGATGTGCAAACTGGTCATCATGGTTGGTTTTACTTCTGCTCCTTCATGGAGAAACTCCAGCTCCCAGGCAAGAAGGTCTTACGCAGCTCATACTGCGGACAGCTGTCATCTTGCCTCCTGCATACCCTTGCATGCACAATAGCATTGCACTCCCTCAACGGACCCTCCCCCCCCGCTGGGTGGAGTGTGACTCTTGTGGCTGCTGGCTTCATTCTTCACAAAATGCTGGTGTAAAGAGGTATTAGGTGTTCCTTTGGTTATCTAGCATGGAGCCAGTCTAGGGGCATGGGTTTTCTTCTCCTTCAGTGATTTTGGGGCATGATGAAAATGCCAGTATCGTTAGCTGCAGTCTTGAAGGCTATTAAGCATCATTTCAGGGGTATTTAGCTCTGCTAAAGAGAAATCTTCCCCTAACCTGCTGTGATTTGAGATTTCTTTGGTTTTGTGGTGGTGGTGGTGTTTTGTTTTGTTTGACTGTGTTTCGATTTTTTTTGTGTTTTGTTTCTTTTGCCAGGCTTTTCCTTTTGGCTTTAGAGTTGGTGCTAGGCAAATGCATGGCGGACAAATGGATGCGGCTGCTCATGAATCAGGCAGTGTGGGCTCTCCTGGAAGACCCCCTGGCTCACCCTGAGGGGGTGCGTCTCCTGACCAGGTAAGAGCCCCAGGGATGCATCTGGCTGCCTCCCGCAGGGCTGTGCCCAGCGAAAGGGCTGCTGGGACCCTTCCAGCGTGCCTGGGAAGCCGTCCTGAGCTGAAGAACAGCGTCTGCATCAGTGCAAGTAAATTTTGGAGACCTGGCCTGTGGCCTCACTGGCTAACTGTGTCCCTTGCTTGTGCTCCCTTGTGCAGCGTCCTGCTCCATGCTGGGCTCGTATCACCCCGCCTGGTGCAGACCCTCTTGCCATGGCTGGATTCCCGTTCAGTTGACCTGAGGGTGACAGCTACAGCTTTCTTTGCTGAGGTAAGGCAGCGGGTGGGGAAGAAAGGGTTCAGAGGGGTTTTACTGAGGTGCTGCTGCTTGGGATGCCTTTTTTAGTGGGAAGATCCCTGGATAAAGGGTCCTTTAAGGGGGGTGGCCAGGGGAGCACCTGGATGGGACCAGGTCCCCATGGCACTGCCCGTGTCATTCCAGCTCTCTCAGGACTGCAGTACGACAAGGATCTCTGGGTGAGGCAGGCACCCTCTGCAATACCTGGTCCCAGCCAGCACCAAGGAGTTAATTAAATAAAGCTCATCACAAAAAGCCTAAAGCAAAGTGTATTTTTTTTTTTCTTTCCCTGATGGAACCCTTGTGGTTGGCGGGACCACATGTGGGTGACACCAAGACTGGGGGCTGCCAGCTGTGTGGCCTCTCTCAGATCTTCCCGGGTGGGGGATAATGGAGTCATGCCGGGAAAACCCTAGAGCAGGGGTCTCCCCATGGGGTCCTGGGACCTTGCCATGCTCTCTCGCTGCCTGTGGGGATTACCTTGCCACCCCCACCACCACAGCATGACAGCCTCCAGCACCAGCTAGGGCTGGCGCAGGGAACAGCCGAGGACAGCCCTGACCATACCAGCACAGCAGGCTTTGGTCCCCGGCGTGCCACCACGCTGGGACCCCACACGGCACTTACCCAGGGACATGGTGTGGGGGTAGCAGGGGAAAAGGGGGACACTGGGGCATGTAGGGGGCACTGGGGGATGGGTGGGAGGACTGAAGGGGACACAGGAGTTTACAGGCGTGTGGGCAAGGGGCGGAAGGGAGGCACTGGTGGACGAAAGGGGAATGCTAAAGGGTCAGCAATGGCACAGGGGTGGAGAAGAGGGACAGAGTGTAGCAGAAGGGTCTGGCTGGCCCATCAGACCCCTACCCATTAAACACAGGCCCCACTGCTCCCCAGCCCCAGTGGGCCTGGGCACAACTGCATGGGGCAGGGGCAGCTCCACAGAGGGAGCCCACCAGCAGAGATGTGGTTTCATCCCTCGGGCTGCCGTGCACATTGGCCCCACTGAGAGCCCATCTGAGCCTCTGGTCCCCTGTCCCAGAGGTCCCACCATATGTCTGAGCCAAACTGAAGACTGCAAAATTTGGTCAAACACAGCCCGTGCTCCTGCTGTGTGCCATCATGTTCCCTGATAGAGGTGAGGATGGAGGTGTAAGAGGGAGTCAAGCCCCTTTCTGGGTTGAACACCACGCTGAGAGGGAGTCCTGCTGTGGAGGGGGAACAGCAAGGGCCAAGGTGCACATCACTGAATGCTTGAAACTTCCTAGTCACTTAAAGGTCCTTGCAATAACTTTCTCCGCTGCTCTGATTACAGACAGAGCCCAGTTCAGAAATTGCGAACGTCCAGGGATTCCTCCCACCCTAAAGGTGCCAGGACCAAAAGCTCTTGCTGCTCTTCAAGTATCCAGGCAACCCCATTCACAGCCCCACAAACCCTGGTGCTCTCTCTTTCTGTGGCCTCCCTGATACAAAAATTCACGGATGCTTCTCCTCGCAGTCCGAATCTCCCCAAAGGAGAAACAGAGTATTCAGAGAGTCCCTGAAATGAAACTCAGTAGCAAGGAAGTCACTATTAAGCAGGTATCCTTTATTGCAGCGCTGGGCAGCACTGGGGATTCTCCAACATAAGTGCTCCAACGAGTTGATGAATTTTAGAAAATATATACTATACAATCATACATATTCATAGGATTTCTGGGAATTTGTTTACATAAACATAAGATTTCCAGGAACTTATTAGCATATGTAAATACCCAATTCGCATGCGCAGTCATCTCTCGTGGTGGTCTGTGGTGGTCTTCAGATGAAGGCTTGTAGTCTTCTTCACTGTGCTCACTGATTGACCTTTGCTTCTGCGCAAACTCAGTCCTAGGATCACGTAGACGTTGTCCTTCAAAACTATGGTTGCCATGCTTCTCTTTCTTCCTATCTTCATGGTTCGGTGCATCTGTTCTCCCAAGGCCGAGTTGTCTGTAACGAGATTATCCCAGAGCCCCCCTTATAACTGTTCTTCTAGCTACTCCCTAAATCACATCAAACTGTAAGGCATTCACAACACCCTTAAATCACAACAGGGTGTCTTCTGAGCTAATTAAGTGACTAAGGTATTTACAACATCTTTCTTGCTCTTGTGGTTTTTAACCCTTTCATTCCTCCCTTACGTATTGAGGGTTGTAGCTCTTTAGAGCTCAATCCTCAGTCAACGTTTAGAGAGATTGGAAATACAGAGCAGCATTGTATCGTAACACAGGCTAGGATGCATACACAGATCACTGTTATCCCTGTTACAAACAGATTCCTTAGCCATGTCCAATTAG